TTATTGTACCTCTTTAAACTCTCAGTACTTTGAAAAGTATTGAACAGAAAGGAATACAAAGTGAAGTTACAAAGGGGGCCAGCAAGGCAATCAGGAGACAAGCAGCTTTAATTTATCCATCCAAGACCACCTTGAGCATCGTGAAAAATATCTGAGACTGGAGCATGAGGTTTTGAACAGAGGTGAGGACATGGTTGCTAAGTGCGGATTTCCACCTGAAATAGCTCCAAGTACGTGTTAGAATTGAGAGCTGAAGGGACAGCGGTGTGAGATTCTGCATAAAAGGTGAAGAGAGTTTTGAGACCTTTGCTGTGAGCCAGCCCACCTGGGGACTTGGGGAGTGACAGAGGAGCCACGGGCTCTGGTCATAACCTCCCCCACCTGCTCCAGAAGCAAAGGCCACTGTGACCTGATGGAGATAAACAAGAGCTTCCTCATGGGCAGTCTGGCTTCCTAACTCTCTTCTTCACTTAGATTCCCAGCTCTTGATCCTTCGGTTTCTTCTCAAATGATATTGGAATATCTTTTCCAAGAACAGATGCTCTCGCCACACTGGGGCAGAGTGTCCACAGGGGCTGAAGGGGGAGGGAAGGAATCCTCACTGGAGACGGGGTGGGCTGGTTCCACAAAGGCAAGGAGGAAGACTTGTGAAAAGGAGCGGGGCTTGACTCCAGCCTTGACTTTGACAGCTAGGCTGTAGTCCAGGAGTGGCCACGCCTCCTTCTTCCCAACACTGTTTATGGAATGAAGTTGAACTCACTGCCCCTCTTTAACATGAGAACACAGACAAGACTTAAAAACACTTTTATCGCCTTGCACAAGAAACAAGCTGAAAGTTTCAGAAAATACTTTTATCACTTTGCACAAGAACAAGCTCGATGTTTTAGATTTATTTCAGCATTTGGGGCTGGCTTAATGCTATAGCTTGGCAACTTGTTCATTCCTTTTAGGGCAATATTTTAGATGAAAAAAACAAATAACAAAAGGCACCCAAACCATCACATTGCCGTTTGCCTAAAGCCTTTGGTTTTCCATGCCAGCTCCTTACTACACAGGTACCTACCTTGGGGAGTCCTTCCACTCCCTGCCTTCCATTTCTCTCCCCAAGCGTTTTCACAGTTATCCCTCTTTCTTCATAGAGGTCAGCAAAATTTCTATAAAGGGCTCCAGAGCAAAGAGTTTAGGCTTGAAGGATGGCATACTGACTATTGGCAAAGTGCAAGTCTCCCCTGTAGCACAAAGCAGCCACCAGTGATGTGCAAATAAATGAGCAGAGCTGTGGACTGATAAAACTTTATTTATAGAAACAGGTTGGGGGCCAGAGTTTGTCAATATCTGACTTAAGAGAACTTAATGTCTGAATTCTTTATGTGTATGTGTTTATTTATATATTTATTTTCCACCTTTTTTGTGGGTCTCTTTCCAGGAGAATTCTGGATTCATAAAGCCAGTGACATAATCTGCTGAGTGCTCTCCCACTGTGGATAATAGAGGAGGTCTACCTTTTCCATCTGAGCACAGAAAGTCTGGTCATATGAAGTGTTACATGAATACATGCTAAATGAGTGGACCAAAATGTCTCTCCTGTTTTGAATTACAAGGAACATCTATACTTTCTGTGGAAACTTTAGAAAATTATATCAAGGAACTTTTTTTTTTTTTAATGAAGACCTGTGGTTCAAATGTAAAACAAAATGTTGGCATTTAATAACTTTGAGTTCACTTGGGGTTTTCCTTGGGGTTTGCTTCAAGCCCCTAGTTCAGATTCCATTCAAGTTAGATTGAATTTGATACAAAATCTTCACACTACATCCTTCTCTGAGAAATTTTCTGCAATTATTTCAAGTCTTGGAGCTGGGTTCTCTGTCGTCCTCATCAGCAATTACTGGTACAGTGGAAGGTGCTCGGAACTGCCCAGCCTCTTGAGTTATGAGGGACTTTATGTGATTTTAACAATAGTTCCATATAGTAAGTTAAGATTCATGTATTATGGGATGAGAACTTGGTCACTTATTACAGTGTTATCCAGGGTCTCTGTAACCTAGAATGCAAACCAAAGTAGCCAATCGGATGGAGCATTCTATTTCCTGCCATTTTGAGAGGTCAGAATTCTTCCCAGGTCCAGCTGTTCTTTATTCCCAATCTCAGTACAGTTAGAATGCTAATCTGTGCATTTCCAGTCATTGCTGCTGGTGATGGTGGGAAGGGCAAAGGGGGTATCATTCCAACAGAATGAATTTGTCAAGTTCAGATGAAGCTCCTTGGCTGAAAGCCTTCATTTTGGTGCAGTTGTTTGCACTGATTATATTATTTTTTGTTTGTGAGCAGGTTTGGAAATCAACATGAAGCATCTTTTTATAGCATATTTACCCAACTCCAAAACAAGGTATCATTCAAGAGTTTTGGATCAAATCCTATCAGAAATCACATGAAATTTAATCAGATATGTCCCTTTATTTTGACTTGGAGTGTGTGGATATTTCCTCTTCCATGTTGAAGAATACATCCAAGCACAGGTAGCGAGACCTGAGTAGAGGAAAAGAGAGAACCAGGATGTCATGGTTTCAGCCTCTGGATGTAGCTTTATCGGGCTTCCAACTGCACAAGCTATCCTCCCCAGCCACCCCCACCTTTTAATTTAACCTTTTAATTTGAGTTTTATTTCACTTGAAACGAAGAGAATTCTGGCTAACACAGCTATTTGCTATCATTCTTAACTTTAATTGTTCCTCTAACCTACACTTTTGTGTGATAAACTTTTACTATATGAAATACCTTTGAGTTGTAGTAAAATTGATTCTCTGTAAGTTTATACTACATATTCCTTTTTGGGAATCTGAGTGAAATGAAAATGAATAGTTCAATTGCCATAGGAATCTAGTATCTCTGTAAAAGTGTTTCTTAATTAAATAGATAGCCCTTGTCTTGTTTCTTAGCATAAAACAAAAGACACCTCCTCCCAGTCTAAACTGGTTGAAAACCACAGCTCTGTCGGTTCTGTGACTTTTTGTTTCATATCAAAATAATTGTTATTGGTTCATGGGTTAGATATTACAAATAACTTTGATTGAATTCTTTACATCTCTTGAAAATTCAGCTTGGTACCTGTGCCTGTCAAAAAACAGTCCTGTGACCAGAAGGTAGGAAAGATTTGTGATGTGACCCGAGTTGCCCATTTTTGGAGCAACCTCACCCCCATATGAGTTAAGAAGGATTTTTTTGTGGGGTAAGAAGTAGAAGGGAGTATCTCAAAAAAAAAAAAGGATATTAGGAAGACAATTCAAGTAGAACACACTGACACTTAAATTCCCTATAGAACAGCAGCACATTATGTTTTTTTTTTTTTTTGAGCACTGTCTATGTATCAGGTTCAGATATTATGTGATTCTAACAATAATTCCGTATAGTATATACCTAAGGTCCATACATTTTGAATTAGAACACTAAAACAAAGATTAATTAAAACTGCTGCAGATCACACAACAAATAATGGAGTGAATGAGATAAGAATTAAACAATCAGACCCTAGAACGCATGTTCTAGACTACGTGTGGTCAGCAATCTACAACTACAGGTGAAATCTGGCCCTCTGCCTGTGTGTAAATAAAGTTTTATCAACCTATAGCTATACTAATTTGTTTATGTATTTTCTATGTCTGATTTCATGCTATAATGTCAAAGATCAATAGTGGTAACACAGACCACAAAACATAAAATATTGACTAATGGGCTGTTACAGAAAACAAGCAACCCCCCTTTATCAACTTCTGAACCAGACACCAGATCATCCAGCCTTTCTAAAAAAGAGTTTTGAGTCAAAAGACTCACTGGTTCTGGCATAGCCTACTGTATTTCTAGGTTATATGGATGTTTGTACTTAATTTTAGCTGACTACCATCTCAGCCCTTGTTTTTAGGCTCAGAGAACTTCCTGTAATGTGCATCTTGGTGGGAGGTAGGGCCCACGAGCCATATCTGAGACCAGACACCCTCCCTGTCTCCCTACAGCCAGTCTCCTAACATCAGCTCAAAACCCACACTTAGCCCATTATGCTCATCTCAGACCATCAAGTCCAGAGTGTGGCAAAGAAGGAACATGTAGAATCTGATTGCATCAGTCGATGGGGTAGGGATCTGGGTGAGATCATCTCTGGATTCTCACAAAAGGTAGAGATGCCTCCGGCTCCTTGGAATTCTAGTTTTCTCACCAGAATAATCATTGAGAAATCATGAGGAGTCCCATGGCTTCTGGCTCTCCCTGCTAGGGATTATTTTTAGAGGTGAGCAGTTGGGACACCGCCCCTCCACAACAGTCATCTCCAGCTTGACTTCTGGTGTGCCCTGCTGTGAAAACAGCACATCTTTTCACATTAGCATCTGTTTGGGTTTTTAAATTTGATTTTTGTTGGTTATTGGGTGCTGCTGTTTCTGCATAATAATGCTCCTTCTTGGTAGGGACAGTTTGCTCAGTCACTTGCTTCAGTGTCTTGGAAAGAATCATTGCCGTTAAAGTTGTTTAAAATATACTTTTTAATAAAATGTATCAAATTTCTCATTTATGTCCATTATGTATATGAGAAGATGTTCCAGCATGGGCGAGGGGAGTGCCCACTCCCCATGGATCTCATTGCCAGTTGGCGTACTGGGAGATCCAGACAGCAATAGGGCCCATGAGATGCTGAGAAAGCAAAGGAGCAGGTGGGTAGACACTGTGATTTTGCAGCGGGTCCCCTGTTCTGACTCACTGTGCCACCTCCTTTCTCCCTCTCCCTGTGATGGAGATTTCCTCCTGGAACTCCCCCACTGAGCATTTAGAATACAAAAGCCCTGGGGTCCTCCCTTGCTTGTTTCTCAAGCCGGTGGATAACACCTGGAGAGAGAGAGAGACCTGCAGAAGCTCCACTGCCCCATCTTTGCCAGGGACACTCCCTCAGCCCTGCTCTGTCCAATCACACGTCTGTGGCTGGGCAGAGCCCTGGGGCAGTTCTGCCATGAAGCAGACTCTGCAGTGAGGGTAGCATAGAGTTGCGACCTGGGCAGGTGCTCTGACCTTAATATGATGTGGTGGTTGTTGTTCATTTAAAAGAACAGAGACTGGAGATGGAGCCTCTCAGCTGCTGGACCAGCATGCAGTATCTCAGCCCCCGGGTCACATTTTCAAAATCATCGTATTATTTATTTATTGCAAAATATCTGTTGGTGGCCATTTGCCTGGCTCCTTTCATCGGACATTGCTGGACAGGAATGCAGTGTCCCTGCCCTCACGGAGCTTGTACTTTTGCTGGGGCGACCTGTAAAAAGCCGGCAAGCACAAAGCAATGAGCCAAGTAGTGGTGAGTGGTGCTCCTGGCTGAGAGACTTGGGGCAGAGAGTGGGTGGAGGGAGGCGCCCAGAGGGAAGGCCACCTCTCCGCTCTCCGCTGCTCCGTGGGGTGAGAGGGAGCAAGGCGTGGCAGGAAAGACAACCATCAAATGACAGTCAGAGTAACCTCACAGTCCCTCAGCATCGGATCCACCACAGCTGCAGTCCTGTGAC